TGGGTCTGGACATAGGTCCAGATTCAATTTCGGCATTCAGTTCTGCCCTGGAAACTACTCAGACAGTCATTTGGAATGGACCCATGGGAGTTTTCGAATTTGACAAGTTTGCAGTTGGAACCAAGGTAATGCTATGTGACGCCATTGTTTCTGCTATGACACTTTTGAGGAAATTGTATAAAGAAACTTGACCATGAATTCTCTTCTTTAGGCAATTGCAAAGAAGTTAGCCGAGCTTAGTGGCAAGGGCGTCACTACAATAATTGGTGGTGGAGACTCCGTTGCAGCTGTTGAGAAGGCAGGTGTCGCCGACTCTATGAGCCACATTTCAACTGGGGGTGGTGCAAGTTTGGAGTTGCTGGAAGGGAAGGAGCTCCCAGGAGTAGCTGCACTGGACGAAGCTTAGTGTCTGCACCGCCACATTAAGCTCCATTCTGTTGAATCTTCTTCGAGACTATATTGTAATTTATTTCATTTTTTTAGAATGCTCAACGGCTTGGGATGTAAAGATGTTTTGCAGAGTTTCTGTGAATTGCTCGAGTGTACTTGTGTGACGTGGTTACAGAGTATTTAAAAAGACCAACATTTCTGACAATTCTCGAATTGCTGTATATGTTGGCACATGTATTTTACAGGACGTGGACAGGTGGGTGACAAATGACAATTAGGCTTCACCGTTCTGTTCCAAGCAGACAGAGAATGAGGGGTTATTGTCATTGGGTGAACTCATTTGATTGGACGGTAGTGCTAGCGCCCGGATGTCAGGTGGACGCCCGCGTCGGACGCCCGAGCCTACACTCCATTTCACGCCCTCAGGTGGGGGCCACGCCGCCCCGAACATCACCAGCATCGAGAAGAGGGGGAGGGGGCAGCGTCCGCCTGCGCCTCGGGTTCGCATGCCCAGCCGGCGTTGAGAGGGGGAGGAGACACCGAAGAGAGGTAGCAGAAGGCGAGAGGGAGATACAACACCCGATCTACTTTTGAAACATTCCAGATACAACACTTGAAACATACATTTGAAGACAAAAGAAACACTCGAAACATACATTTGAAACACTTGCAACAACACATGAAAAAACGTTTGAAACCATTGTAAAACTTATACAACATCTAGATAAAACACTTGCAACATATGTGTGAAACATATGCAACATTCAAATAAACACACTTGCAACATACGTCTGAAAAAATAAATGAAACATTGGGAACATAATCTTGCAACATACGTGCACAACTATTGCAACATACGCAACATCCAGATCTATTTTTGCAATATTCATTTGAAACACTTGAAACATATCTATGAAACACTTAAAATATAGGCTTGCAACATGCTCTTTCAGTGCAACATCTCCATGCTGGTTGCGAATGGAGGTTTGTCGGCGCATGGAGTTCACCGGTGTAGAGCTCGCCGCTCCGGTGGAGAAGGCCACGCAGTGTCAGTAGAGAAAGGCATGGGCGCGAGGGCTGATGGAGAGAGAGTAAGAAGGCCGCTTTGCGCTTGGGCGATGTGGACATGCTTACGGCGGAGCGGAGGAGGTGCGAGAGAGGAGGCACGGTGGAGAGCATGGTCGCAGAGGCGGCGCAGCGAAGCACGGTCGCGAAGCCCTATTGTGGCGCTGCGGTGAGGTGAGTTTTTTTAGAACGGTTGCGGGGCGAGTGGACTAGCGGTCGTTGGGCTGTAGTCTCGCGTCGCGGCCTAGCAACGGAGCATCCGGGTGGACGGACGCCCGCTTCCCGAATTACCGTTGATAGAATTAAACCAGGTTTCAGTGTGAAAGAAATAAACCGGGCTTAAGAGTGTAGAAAATGGGATGCAAATAAATCGGTCTCTATCGGGACCTACCATCTCCATCCTTTTTTGGATAAAATATATAATTTGGTTTCATCTCTTGTCACTAAAAGAATCAAATCACTTCTTACAACATAAATAGTAACAAAAAAGTCTAACCGAAAACTAAATTTTGTATTATTTGTCTATTCAAAGAAAAGAATTTTTTTTGCATAGGAGCCTGTCTCAACTCTCAAGTAATCGACAAGCCTAGTTGATTTGCTCCTACGAGTAATCGACAAGCTTAATTGGTGCCCTTCTTGTTGGCTTCATCAACATAACCATTATTTTATTTACTAAACACTTATATGAGTTTTTGAATAAAATAGAGGTAAAATCACAATTAGACTTCAAAACAATGCTGCAAGCTCAGGAGTCCCTACAAAATAATAGGAATATTTATGTCTCAAAAGTTTACAGTAAAAATATATTCTACGATAAATCCAATGCTATTTATTTGTTATGGGTTTTTTATAGATTTGATTAATTTTGAAATTATTTATTTTTTAAAATGAGAAATGCACTCTTTTATGCTGTTAACTATGTTTTTTTTCCTATAAGGACTTGATTATATTCAATCATGGAAAGAACGGTACGAAAATTTGCGAAAACAGATCCCAAAGAACACAAGCGCAGCTCCGTAACAATTCATACAAAGATCCTCAATAGAACGGGAAAAATTGGATCTTCACAGACACCACAACAGCAAAGCCTCACAGAAGGCACAACTCATGACCAGCAGTCCCAGTCCAGCACAGGGGCAGTCAGTATCGGGCTATCAGCGACGAGGGATGATCAACATGAAGACAGTAAGAACCAAAACACCAGAAAGCACAAGTAGATAACACGAGGTTCAACACAGGAATACACAGAGAAAAAAAGGAGCTCACTCGTTTTGCATCAGATGTTCAACAGCAAGAAGAAACTGCAAACGCAAGACGGCTAGTCGGCTACATGACCATTTCACTTTCCAGCTATCACTTATCAGCGAGTAAGGGTACGACGTCACACAGCATAATGTATTCCGACTTGGCATTAACAAATGTCGCATCAGAAGTTGAACAACATACGCAAATTGAGGCAAAAAGCAGGCACAATAGCTATACACGACGTTCCCACTATGGAAGTGATAAAAAAAATGTAAAGAGCATCTCCAACGGTCTCCGACACCACTCTTCATTCTCATAAAACTGTTATGTTGAAGGATATAAGTCTTTTCCTTAGCTCCAGCGATGATCTCCCTCATCCCCTGACAAATAGAGGAGTTGCATCTCCCCTAGTAGACTATCACTCTCCTCGCCTTTCTCCCTCTTGCCCCTCTTCGCCTGCATCGCAGTCGCCACAGGCATGTGCGCCAAGTCCATGCAGCCCCGCGCCACGCTGTTGTGTGGAGGGAAAGAGGGGCAACGATCGTGCGGCCAGCCTGAGGTGGTGGCGGCTCCGATGCTGAAGACGATGGCGACACTTGCCATGGCCATGACGTTGGATGTGCTCGTGAGGCTGAAGTCATGAGGTCGAAGGTAGGACGAGGCCATGGCGTCAGGATGGAGACGGATCCAACCGCAGACGCCATCGGGCTAGAGACCGGGACCGGTGCGGCAGAGGTCAAGACCAGGACAGTCCGATGCGGCTGGAGACCAAGGCCAGGGTGGCAGAATTGGAGCCGGGCACGAGGCCGACTCGGTGGGAGTCGGGGAGTGCCTAGCGGTGACCGTGCGGTGGGGGTAGGGAAGAAGACGCCTCACTGCTGCTACAGATAGAGAAAAGGGAAGAAAAAAAGAGAAAAAATAAATAAATTGTGGTTAGGTACCACGTATTCGTGGAGGTAATTGTTAGTCTGCAAAAATATATCTTCAAATAATTCAAAAAACGGTATTAGGTTATCTCCATTATCATCTTATTGAGTGAATTGTATAGGGGAGCTGCCGGAGATGGTCCAAGACGTGCCAAGTACAATCACCTGAAAAGTCTATAAGGAGGTGTAGCATTGGCTTTGTCCAAATGAAAGGGGCAGTTGGGCAGCAGCTGCAGCAACAAGAAGAAAACATTTTCGTCCCAATTCCCAAGCAACTCAGGGAATTATGCACCATGTAATCCTGGTAGCATGAAGCTCTTTCATGTAGGATATCAACTAGAATGACTGATTCATCAGCCATCATTTATGTGGCTTCAGAAAAAAAAGAGTGATTTGTGCTTTTCACTTTAAGCTCCATTTCCTAAATAGTACTCAGTGATATGGCTGTATGGTTTGCAACATTAGCACTACAAGACCATTCCAGATGTAACTTCACTGACACGAAGGCCCTAAGCCCCACCCTACCCTACCAACAAAATTTGTAGTATTCAGAAAGGATGGAAATCACAGATAAGTAAATTTTGCCCAAAAAAGGATCATTATACCAGAATGTTGTAGTTCAACCAAGCCAATCAACAGACACAACCTAGCACGTCTTAAATTCTTTCAAGGATAAACAACTAGTGGCCAAGTTCTCAATAATGATGATGGCATTTCATAAAAGTCCAAGCAGTACATGATGATCATAGATATTAAGATACAGATTAAGAGTTGATAGCACAATCTTTTTCCCAATAGAATGAACTAATACGGATTCTGCAAGCATGTTTCAAAACATTCCAACACATGAGGTATATATAGGAAGCCTAATGGGAAAAACTCGTGATCTTGATGTACAGAGATTGTCTAGAGTAACAATGGACATCTATAATGCAATTTTTTACCAAACGGTATGGATCGCGGGAGGGACGGAGTCCGGAGATCCCACAGAGCATAATCAAGAGCACCATCCGATGTGAACAGCCTCACAGTCTCACATTAGCAGAGAGGAAACCAGTTGTGCGTCAGTGCATGCTAACCCTCAATCTCTAAATCATGAATCATAGTCACGAACAATAGCATGACTCACAGGAAAGCAAGGAAAAAAAAAAGAACACAGGCAATCTTGTTCATGCATCTCTGTTCCATTCCATATAGATTGGTTCCATACTGAGCATTTTCACTTATACAGATTATAAACTACTACAGGGTACTAGAAACAACAAGACAAGATAGCTCCTTGTAAACCACACTCATCTTTTGAGAAAGATCCACAGGAAACTGCTAGTATGAAGCAATGAGGTGAGCAGCTTACCCTTGCCCTATGCTCCAATCTCAAAGGTTCTCCATCTGGATATTGCTCTTGAGTGGCACGTACTCCCCAAGGTACCCTCCAAGGTGCTCATACAATGCAGTCCGGTCAATCTGCTGGTTGTGGAAGGCCTTGCAGGCGTAGTAGAAGACGCTCTGCACGAGCAGTCCCAGCAGATTGACACAGACAAGAACGCACACCAGCACGGCGCCGACAAGCAGCCGCCCGGGCAAGGCCAGGCCGAAGCTCCCCTCCTCGGCGCGCCCCTTAACGACGGCGGCACGGAACAGCAACGAGGTGACGCCGCAGACCGCGAAGTAGGAGACGACGAGCGTGGCCGCGGTGCCGGTGCGGCCCTGGAGCAGCTGCTTGCTCTTGGCCATGGCGGCGAGCCCGCAGAGCGGCTCGAGCACGGAGATGACGCTGGCGAGGTGCCACAGCGCGGAGATGTAGACGTGGATCCCGAGGAAGACGAAGACGACGACGACGAGGAAGAGGACGAAGGAGAGCGAGGGCGGCGCGGACTCGGACGCGTTGGGGATGAAGACGACGATGAGCAGGAGGACGGTGAGCGCGAAGACGAGGTGGTAGGCGAGCATGAGGAGGGAGACCCAGAGGAAGGTGCGGAGGAGGCGGGGCAGGATGGGGGGCAGCGCGGCGAGCGAGGAGGAGATGGACGCGGGCTTGGCAGTGTAGAGCGAGGCGACGGTGAAGACGGCGGCGGCGGTGGAGAGGAGGGAGAAGGTGAAGAGGACGATGAGGTAGAGGAACTGGTAGGCGAAGAGCCTGAGCCACTGCGCGAGCTCGTTGTGGGTGGCGCCCTGGATGCGGCGCAGGATGGGGTGGGTGAAGAGGGAGTGCGCGAGAACGGCGAAGGAGAGCGGGAAGACGAGGCAGGCGGTGAGCAGCGCGAAGGTGCGGGGAGCCGCGCGCGGGATCGACGCCGACACGCGGACCAGCTCCGCCGCGCCCAGCGCCGCGAGGTCGGTCGACGCCACCAGCTCCATCGCCGCGGGTTGCGCGGCTTGTGTTGGCCGGCCCGGTTGATTTGGGGGCGATTTGGCGAGGACTTGCGGGGTAGTCCGACCGGCTGGGTTTGGGGGAATTTGGCGGAGTTCGGGGGGTTCACGCGCGAGCGCGAGGGGCGGGTCCGCGGGTGTGCCGCGGCTGGTGGTGGGGTAGGAGGAAGGGAAATGGGCTATGAACCATCGAAAAATCACATGTTCGGCAATGTACCATTAAAAGACTGTTCTTTGATATATATCATAAGAAGATCACAGCGTTATAGATCGGTAGCATTTCTGTAAACTTTGCTAACGCCATCTGTTCTGTGTCTCTTTCTCTTTCCACTTCGGTCAAGCGACCAGTGGAGGTGAGGAGAAGCCGCGATGGCGCTCCGGTGCGGCCGCACGAAGGCGTAGAAGCAGCATTGGGTCCGGAGCGTCCGGAGCCTCGCCGTCACCGCGGAGGAAGTGGCGGACCGCGCGGGCAAAAGAGACGAGCGCAGCGAAGCAGCTCCCCGTGCGCGCCAGCGAGGTCCCCGCACCCGTGGCCTTGGTCGCGACGACAAAGTTCCGGGGTGGCTCGCGCGCGCCATCACCCGCGCAGCCGCCTGCAGAGCTCACGCGTCGCGCGGCCGTCAGGGAGCTCGTGCATCTTCCTCGCCCCGCTCCACGTCCGCCTACCCTGCCGAGGGAGAGCCCCGCTCCACGTCCACCCAACATGCCAAGGAAGAGCCTCGTCGCGCACTCAGTGCTCCACACGCTTGCCAACATCAGCTTGTTTTTTTTTGTTCTTCTTCCTCGTGAGCCCCGAGTTGAACCCAGCCACGCCCCACCGCACAGGACGCAGCGCGCTCACCATCATCATGGCTGGCATCTCGCTCCCCTTCGCGTTCGGCGGTGGCTTCCCGACCGTGTGGGATGGGGACGGGAGTCACAGGACGCTGCCCTTGCCGCGGCCGCAGGTGGTTGGAGCCAGAGCCGAAGCCGCCTGTCTCCACGCGCAGGGCGGGGTCCTTGGCGGCGCGAGTGTGCGGACGCAGACACGGAAGACGCTAGGCGAGCATGCAGCGCGAGCATGGACAGACAAAGGAAGGCCCCCATGGCGAAGCGCCGCTTGCTGCCAAGGTCGCCGTCAGCAGGGAGACCGCTGGATCCTTCTCGCCTCGCTCATGTTCCTCCCCAAGACCGGTCCTGTTGCCCCGCCGGCCTTCGCCTCCCGGGCTGGCAGTGGCGAGTGCCAGGCCAACCCGACGCCATCCTTGTCTGTTGTGTGCCCGTGTTCTTCGTGGAAAGGCTTCGAAGAAGACGACTCGAGAACAGAGATACAACATGATGTTAGCGAAGTTAACGGAAGTGGTAGAAACCAACAATGTTGTGACCTTTCGGTGTTGTACAGCAAAGAAGGAATTTTTTAACGGTAGATAGCTAAATTTGATATCTTTTGATGGTCCGCAGCCAATTTTCCCTAGAGGAAGGAACGGCCGGTGGAATCGGGGCTAGGAAAGGGGGGCTGCGGCGCTGCGCGCAGCAGGAGTTTGGTGGGCATCCGCCGTGGAATGGCCGTGGCGAACCGGTGTGCGGCCAGCCGGCGGGCGGGTAGGCAGGCAGCGGCGATCTAGCCACAGATCGGGACGCGTGCCTCACGTGGCTCCGTCGCTATGCGTTAGCATTGCGGGCCCGGTGAGAAGTGGACTGGAGTTTTGCGGCTTGAAGAGGCCGCGGCCCGGGGTAACTTCTTCGACACGAAGTATCTGAAATCTGAAAGACTGAAACTGCAATAGGAAACCACGAGCGTGCCGTGCCTTCCTGGGCTACACTGGAACCAATCTCTACAGAAAACTAACACTCTACATTTTTTCCATTTTACATCTCAGTTTCTCAATTTCCCATGTACTAGAACTTTTTGTCACACAGAAAAGGAGACCTCTTTTTTCTCAAGTCTGTACAGGATCTAGTTACTCTGGACACGGGAGAAGAAACCAAAGGCGAGTTTCTGAGAGCTTGGTACACACGCCTTTCGCGCTATGTGTACACCGGCCGGCCGTCCGTCCAAAAGCATCAATCACTGCTTCCTTGCTAGCGTTCGGTTCTCTGGATGCTGAATATGGCCACGACAATGTCGTGAAGAGCTAGCACGAGTGCACGACCAAGACGCCGCGGTCGGTGACTTCGGAAGCGATGCCTATCGTTTCTGTGTCGGCACAGCAGACAACGAAACGTATTCGTTCAGCAGGCTCTTGAATTGCTCCTGCGCCTTCTCAAGCTCGAGCCGTAGATTCTGTTCCTGTTCGGCACAAGAGGTCAGGTTCGTCAGACACTCCTCATAGTCGAGTGAAGATGCTTACTATGTGCTCTAATGATCATCATGACTGCACAGGGTGGGCAGGGAATTTACCTTGAGTCGTAGTTCCTTCTCTGCCATCTCAAATTCTGAGCACCTACATACAGAGAAAAAAAATGCAAAACAAAACACGAGTACTTAGAAGCTTTGCCAAAACCAGTAGTATATAGGATGACACCAAAGCAAGATTGTGAGGCTCACTCTTCACGGAGCATCCGGTTCTCCAACTTCATGAATTTAAATTCCTTCAGCTCTCGCTCTCCCATATATTGGGATACCTGTTTTGTCCAGAGAAATCAATACAACATACAGATTGCATAAGAATCAAGGCGATAAAGTACGTGCACCAACAAGGTACTAGCACGGACGAACAGCAAGGTGGATGTCTGTACTAACCTGATCAGTAGCGGAGCTGCTGCCAGCCAAATCCTCCGCAGCCTTCCTTTTAAGCGCGACCGTCATGGTAGCATCGTCGTTCCTCCTTTTTCTTGTCTCCACCGAATCGGTGCCAGGCGCCATGGAAGGCGATTTTGTCTGGTTGATGACTTGCATGGTCTGCACGTTTGGCGAGGAGGACGGGGAGTAGCCCATAGGCGCTCCAGGTGCAACAGCCTCTGTTTTGACAGGTGCTGAGTGGAAACCAGGGGGTGCAAAGGCGATTGGAACAGCATTCACGTAGTTGCCGTGCGATCTCAAGCGTTGCGTCGGAGCAGGAGCAGGTGCACTCCTCTCTGATGGTTCAGCGGCGCCATTTGCTATCGGCAGCATTACTGGAGGAGGAGGAGGAGGAGGAGGAGGAGTGGGAGCTGCACTCACGCGTGGCATTTTCACGTATCCAATCTTCTCACTGTAGAGATCCCTGAGGAAGAACCGAGACATTTACATGGTGATATTTGAGGCGAAGTAAGAATTGGTGCTAATAGATTTGGGAAATTGGGAAGAACAGGTATCAAGAACCTGGGACTTACCAGTACTCGTTGGTCATTTCCTTCAGGCGGTTGATCAGCCTCTGAAACAGCTGTGACTTCTCAAAGTCCTGTTTGTCATGAGTGGGCTTGATGAAGTCTACCTCCAATACCCCAGAGACGCTTCTACCTTTGCTGCTCGCAGTACTCAAAACTCTATGAAATGGCTGCAGTACATTTTAGACAAAGATAACCGTGTAAATCATATTTTCTATGTTTATGCATCGTTAAACAAAGTGAATCAATGCAAGGGGTCAGGAAGCTCACCAAAATAAGGCGATTTTTATGATAGATATTAAATCCATGCACGCTAATAGTTGGGGCACCCTTTAAGAATCCAATAGTTGTAAGGACCTCAGCCTGAGTCAACCAAAGAGAGTGCATGCAAAAATTAGAAACAAGAAAAGAGTATGAAACTCTTAATTCATACAGTATAAAGAGTAAACCAACAAGTCATGTGGTGAGGCTAAGAAAAGATAAACCAAGGCAAACCTCTTTTATTCCGCAACTTTGGGGTTTATAACTGATGCATTCAGGATATATTAGGTCAGCGGCAATGCGATGATGCTTAACCTCTTGCCCTCGAAGTATGATCCTAAAGTAATCTGGTAGCTGCAGATACAACACAGAAGCATAGACCTGCAGAATGCTATGTCAGCAACCAACTCACTGGTATTGTGCAGGAGTGTTAAACTATATGATACTCACCCTAAGAGAATAGCGTAGTCGATTTGCCAAATGGTTCTCATTAGCCCTTTTTACAGTGTTACTAATTTCTTCTGGATTTGGCGCTCCACTTATCATAATATCCTGAAATACAAACAAACAACAAGAACTATGATGAGCAACCCAGCAGGGAACACCAAAAATCTGTATTCCAATAGTATTCCAATAAATTCAACAAGAACTATGATACTCACTCTGACAATATACAACATAAACAATTACAAGAAAATAAATTCCTATTTATTGAAAAACAATCAACAAACACCGCGTTCGGCTGGTCTACTACCAGCTTGTTTCAGCTTATTCTCTCTCACAGAACACTATTGAATCATTACAAACCAGCTGAAATTCACTGCGCAGCATACCAGCCGAACACAGTTAAAATACAGCAAATTTTATAAGATCGGTTTACATTGTTGGCAACAGTATTCCAATAGATGCAATCATCAGAGTTAAGGATGTTACTTTAACAATAAAAACAATAATTATGTTAAATCATTGAAGTGGTATATTTGACGGTTACCTCCGGATTCGTGTCAAAGTCGAGCTCCAAATTACCATCACCGTTGGACCATAGATTGAACACTATAATCTTGGTGCCATGTGGACCAATGTCACAGAACTGTTCATCAACCATAGATTGGAACAACCATTAGCATTTTAGATAACCTATATATTACTAACAAATACTAAATGAGGTTGTAGTAGCTACATCGATCTGTTGAATTTTACTATTTTATTTAAATGTTTTTTAAACACAGTTGTCATGTATTTATATGGAAACAATTTGTCCAGCTTATACCTTCAAGTCTAAGTTTGTCAGTTTTATAACCTAGTGTTTTCTTAGAGTAAATAAAACATTGTATCTCTAGACTTCAAACGGATGGCAGGTTTAGCATACATTCTGCATAAGCTCTTCTTCTGTTGCAAAAGGGGACCATTTCAACAACACTGACAAATTTGAGGAGAATTGCTCCGAACCATGATGCTCCAATCGTTGAGTTTGTCCTTTCATTAGATTGCATTTATAATCCACCTAAGAAGAGAAAATGTATCATCAGAAACAAGGGAAGTGGTGCCAATGCCAACCAAATAAAAAAATCGCACAGCATACCATAGGAATTACAACATCTGTATGTCCTGTTTCCACCAAGAAAGTGTAAGAGAGGAGACCAATGGATTGTGTAGGCCCACTGAAAACAAGTAATAACTTGGCATTATTTCAATTGACAAAAAAAAAAGTGGTTCACAAAAGGAAAGAAATTTAAGTGAGGTTCTATGGTACCTGCTCTTAGTGCAGCGAGTGAAAACAATAGCATCTGCTCCAAGCCGCATTGTGCTAGTCTTAAATCCATTTCCATCTAATCAAAGTGATAAATGCCAAAATGTTAGACAATGGGTTTCAGGGGATGACTTGCAGATCATAAAACAAAAGTTGGCAATACATTGTCCAATCGAAGATCCTGATTGTTTCTCTGAAAATCCAAAGCTCATGCACCGCCTCAAAGAATCAGGATCCATACCTCCACCATCATCTGTATGGTAGCCGGAAATTATGCACTCTGTCAGTTTTAAATTCATACGTGTATCCATATTTGCCTAATTTTTTAAAGTAAGCTTCATTATAGTGCAAGCATGAGCAAACTCTGTAGTTCCTACAAACTCCATAAAAAACTGTAAAGTTTATAAGTTTGTATTTTGGTTTATTAATCCAATCAAATATCATTTAAAATAATGCTATCACATTAATTATAATATAACAATCAGAACCTTGAATTAGTAAAGCTGGTGATCCATGCCGTTTGTCGATGACTTTGTCCAACAATATTTCTGTAGCACCACCGGTTTCTATCTGTTTGACACAAAAATCCAGTCACACATTTACCTATGAATAATCAATATGGCTCAACAATAAATCTGTTTAAAGTTTTAAAAAGCAATAATTATGTTCAATTACCTCATCCACCGCATTGTCCAACAACTCTGCCACGGCTGTAACAAGGCAAAGAACGTAAGACACAATGCAACAATAACTAAGACTGTAGTCTAAAAAAGAAGTCTGAAACCACACAAAAGCATACCTCCGAACGGCCATTTATGTGAAGTTGCGTTGGAGTGGAGAAATTCGGGGTGGACGCACATACGATTCTGAAGACCTACAAGGAAGCACAGTGATCAACATCGAGTGTAAGAGGTATGCTACGAAGAATTAATAGAATTCACACGAAAACCTTCAGCATTATGACATACTCGGAGGCTGTGGCGCAGACCTCCCTTTCGCTTTATCATAATCGCCGGCGCCCCAGAACTTCCTACTCAACCGTGGTGGTGGTGCAGAGCAAGATCGACGAGCCGAGGTACCCTCGAGTGCCTCGTCGGCGCTAATGGACCGGTCGCTGACGCCACCCGATAGCTCTGAAGCGGCCTGGTTCAGGACGCATGCCGCTTGAGGCTGAGTTTGCGGTAACACTCGAGTGCCACCACGCTCCAGTGGCAATGCCGTTGGCTGACAAGCGCTGGGGCCGTGGAGCTTCCGCTGGATGGTGGCGGCCACGATAGGGGAGACGAAGGGCTTGATGTCTCTCTCCGCGTCCATGTAGTCTGTCGACACTTCCTTAAGATGGTTGCTGTTCAAGTGACAAACAGTAGGAGCGATTAGTGAGGAAATGCATATGTATGGTAAAATCGAGAATGCCAAGAGATACATCATAACTATGACATTTAGAAAAAAAAACGACAATAAATTCTTAATAAATCAGAGAAAATTAAGAAAGCTAGCACAGTATTGGCAGAAGTGTTCCATACAAAGAAAATTCGCAAAAGGTGAAGAAATATCCGAAAAACAAAATCAAAACAATGTCAGCAACTCACATAAGCCACTTAGAGCTTGTCAAATTTCAGCAAGGTCAAATTGTCACAAACCACATAAGCCATTCATTATTTCTCAACACTATTTAGTTCTTTAGATTAGATTTTTTTTAGGCAAACAAGAGAGGTAAAGCACCCCTACTGAAATTTTATTAAAAAACAAAGCAACAATACAAAGCAAATGAAGCTAAGAAAAAAGAAAGAGAGAAAGAAAATGAGAAAGAATACAATCGAGCTTCTAACCATAGACTACTAAAGGGGAAGTATTCTTTCTTTGCCCGATGGATAACCATAGCAAACTCTTAAGGAATAGATTGGGATCTACGACCAATATCGTTCTTGTTCCTCTCCTTCTCCCACAATCTCTCCACTTCCATCACCAAATTTTCCTTAATCCGCCTAATTTGTAACCACATCTAACAACTAATTTATCCCCTTCACTGGATGAGACATAGCTCCGCTACCACACACCTGATTGTGCCCCACGGACGTTCTATTGTAGCCTAGCTTAGGCACGCCTAGCCTTGCCACCTCGCCCCTCAATGGCCATCACAACTAGGTGGAACTTCTCTTCCCTTGTCCTTGAACCTCTATGAACCCTAATTCCTAAACTTAACCCTAACCCTAACCCCAAACCTTAAATTAAAACACTAACCTTGTCGTGGACGAAGAGTCACCGAAGATGGAGAAGATGGTATCGGATATTGTCGGAGTTGGATAAGAGGGCTAAAAACGATCGAAGGTGGAGATGGTAGGATCTGATCTCGCTAGAGTTAGAGAAGGGGAAAAGAAAGAGGAAAAGAGAGAAATAGTCTCAAAGGAGGAGCACTGGGATAAAATATAGCTTTTCCTTTTTGCCCCATGGTTCGGTCAAATAAAAGCCAAAATTTTCCCACCTGTAAATCGAGTAATTGCAGCCTAACTGCACGTGTCCTGGAACATCCAAATAAGAATAAAGAGAGATAAAGCTAACATTTTAATGATTTAATTTATTATTAGCTAGGACATATATAATCAATAAACTTTTTATAGGGCTCTTCATGAGAGAGAGTGAGTGTTACATCATTTAGCATTTAAGTAAGAGAGTCCCAAACTCCATTGGAAACAATTATTCCTAGCCGCTTAATAAGTATCTTCATCAGGTTATTTAGAGTCCAGCTAAGCGTTCGTCAGCAACTCATCACCCAATGCATAGGCTCCAATCTTTTTTTACTTTATTAGCCATTCTAAATTGAAAACTGAAACAATAGCAAAAGGCAAGTCGTATTTCATATAGATTCAGTGCTACAGTACCTCATGATAGGACGGAAAATGGGAGGGTGCTGCAGCTCGAGAAAGAAAAGAAACCCAAAGTCCGGCAATTTATATATTTTTTTACTTTAGAGGCCATCTTTCATGAACAAATTAGATCACAATTTACCAATTAGCTCAGATGACAAATGTATTATATGTCCATTCAGTTAGCATGGTTAATATTGGTTAAAACAAAAATCATTCAAGCATCCGCCGCTCGACCTCCAAAGACCGCTTCACGCCTGAAGAACTGTCGGTGTTGGGCGAGCGCGTCAACTCCGACGCCGAGCGCCGCGCAACCGCGATGGCCTCACCGTGGCAAGGGAACAAAAAAACAAAGCAACCGTCCATGCATAAAGAACGGTTGAAAATACAGAGATCCTAGAGAAGCGGAAGGGTCCTAAATATAGATTAACTTGAGGATGGAAGACAGAGAGAAGCAAATATGAAGAAGAAAGAACACAGCCAAATCATGTCTTAACTTGAGGATGGAAGACAGAGAAGCAAATATGAAGAAGGAACACAGCCAAATCATGTCTTTCAAGAACAGGAGAGATAAAAAGGCAAACACACTCTAAACAAAAAAAATAATCTTACCTCTGGAATGCAGTCCAATCTTGATCTTTTCCTAGTTGCCTCCCAACTGTAGTTTGGTATAGATAGATAGATAGATAGATCAGATAAAAGAAAAGGCTCCAAGGTTTTGAATGGTCTTGGTATGACCAGATCTTTTTTCTTCTTCCTTCCAACTGCAGATCTTACTTTTGATATGGATCAGATCAAATAATTACCCCAAGGTTTTTAAGGGTTCTTGATATGATCACTCCTTCAATGCCAATTTGCTTTTGGCACCCTAGCACCTGCTCTCTAAAGAAGGGATCTAGGGAATCCAAGTTGCATATTTGTAGGCTAGGAAACCACCCCTAGACCTTTTCTTGGTAGGAACTAAATATAGATCTATTAGGAGTCAGCCTGAAGGAAAAATATCTTAAAGGATCTGATGGGACAAGCAGAGTCCAAGTCCATCTCACATGAAGGAAACTTAATTGCCAAGAAAGCTAGTTAGTTTCCTTGATATATGGATGTCGACTATACTTCGGTCGTTTCGTTTGTATGCTGTCAAAGCGACGTAAATTTTTATTGAAATATTATTTTTCTCTCCATAAACCAAAAAAGAAGTACTTCTTCACGTAACAAAGAACGATATGAACCCCATAACGAGAGGATGTTTGATATAATATATATATATATATATATATATATATATATATATATATATATATATATATATATATATTTCCCTCTCCCCGCTATGTGCAGGTCGTTTTATGCTTTCATGACTTAGGGGTGCTTGATTTCTTCTCCTAAACTTTAGTCATTGTCACATCAGATGTTTGACACATGCATAGAGTATTAAATATAGATTAATTATGAAACTAACTGTATAGTTTGTGACTAATTTACGAGACGAATCTTTTAAACCTAATTAGTTCATGATTTGAGAACGTGTGCTACAGTAAACATACGCTAATAACGGATTAATTAGGTTTAATAAATTCATCTCGTGGATGACGGATTCTGTAATTTATTTTTTTTTTGTTAGTATCCAAACACCCTGCGATACCCTTACGTGATACCTTCTAAATTTTAGTCTCTGAATCAAAACACCCCTTACCCCTATATATATACTATTTCAAAAGTTTCAAATTCATCCTGTATTTGACAAATCTTGTACGGCAAGGACACGTATTTCGTACCTGACTCGGAGACCGAAATTCGGTCGAGATCAACTGAAACTCCGCCGACCGCCTCGTGGTGCCGTGGCTGCGCAGGCTCACTGGCGTCGAGGGCGGCATCACGCTGCTCCAGCGCATGGGCGTGGGCATGGTACTCTCCGTCGTGGCCATGCTCATCGCCGGCGCGAGCTCGCCGTGCTCCAGGCGGAGGCGAACCGCGAGCCGCTGTCGGGCACCCTCGTCTCGCCGGCGTCGGCGTTCTGGCTGGTGCCGCAGCTGGCGGCGCTGGGCCTCTCGGAGGCGTTCAACCAGGTGAGCCAGATGGAGTTCTACTACAAGCAGTTCCCGGAGAACATGCGCAGCGTCGCCGGGTCGCTCCTCTAAAGCGGCTTGGCGCTGTCCTGGTACCTCAACGGGCTGCTGGTCATCGTGGTGGTGGTGCACCTCGCTACGGCCGACCCCGTGCTAGGAGACCACGGGTGGTGGCTCGCCGTCTCGTCGAGAATCTCAAAAGGGTTTTTTTTCCAAAAAAAAAAACTGGATGTAATCTCTCGTCAGCAACAAATACATAAACATTTTCAGGAATGGAAGTGGTGATTTGCTCCTCTCCCTGAATACACACATATGACCCAGCACTCATGAGCGACTCTACTAGTCTATTACGTTCACGAACCCCGTTGGCTTAGCCGATAATTCATGGCTAAAATTACCGTAGGCTGATTTGTTGGGAGAGAAAAATATTATTTATTAATTAAAAAATATGGCTTATAAGCCAAGCGAATAGGGCCTTAATCTCCGCTATCAACACTTCCACAGCAGTATCATCAAAAGCTTCGGAGGTAATCGCCTGGACAACTTCCTCATCGGTGCGGTCAACTTCTTCGTGTTCCTCGCATGCCCGAAATGGTACAGGTAACTGACAAATCATTATCTAGAAGAAGAGGACTAAACGGGCCTCTCTTCTGCAGCAGTGTGGCCTTGTTGACTGGGCGGCCCACACGCGGCCCTACCGTCCTGCCCGATGAGCGCTGGGCCGAGCCACTGGCCACCCCACGGTCAAGCGTGCCTTGACTCCAATCCGAACACGCTGCGGCGGCGCCAGCGCGAGCGCCGCGCAACACCCCTGCTGCGCCCCCCCAATGTCCCTTACTCATCACCTCGCCGCCGGCGACATCCTCAACGCCCTCCGTGGCGTGTCCTATTCGTACTCGGCACTCCACCTCTATTCCCTCCCCCACCTCCGGCTCCGCCCCTCGGAACCATCCTACTTCATCTGGCGTGCCGCCATGTTCACCCTCAAGCCACTCTCCGCCGCTTCTTCCCTTCCACTCCTCTCCCATTTCCACGTCCACCTACTCAGGTCCAACCTCCTCGCCTACCCTCACGTCGCCTCCTCGCTCCTTCGCTCTTACTCGCTCCTTTCCCCGCCCGTGGCCCACCAACTGTTTCGATCAAATACCCTCCACCACCTGCAACCTCTACGTCCTCAACGTCATGCTTGCATCACTGTGCCGCTCCTCTGACCTCGATTCTGCGTGCACATTCTTCGATGGCGAATTTTTTTAACACTTTTTAAACTAATTTTAAATTTAACACTGTTTTATTTTTTTTCTTCCAAAACTAACACTTTTGGCCGCGCCTATTTTCCTGGCGCGGCAAAACACATGTGCCGCGCCATGCATGGTGGCGCGGCGAGGGGGATGACGTGGCAGGATTTACCGCGCCACCGATCTTGGCGCGGCAGTGCCTCGCCATCCCTAACAGCGCGGCAGTCCCAGGTAAATATCGCCCGCGAGCCGCCCTTCCTCTGTCTGTCGCGCCATCCCTAACAGCGCGGCAGTCCTAGGTAAATATCGCCCGCGAGCCGCCCTTCCTCTGTCTGCCTTGCCCGCCGCTTGACCTTCCCGCCCACCGCCTTGACGGTAGCGCCGGCCACGCTGCCGCCCGCTGACACGCCAGCAGCGCCACACCGTCGCTTCGCCCGCCGCGCGCCCTTCGGCCACGCACATAGGTATTTGTAAAATTCATATAAGTATTTGTTAGGGATATCAACAGCCTCGTGTGCAATGAATTCTGCGTGTATGTTTCGTTAAATTTCTTTTCTAAAATATATTCATCACCTTTCGTTTTAGAGTTGGCAAAGAAGCTTCTAGTATATATATTATTATCGTGGGGCTATAGTTATCTTTCTATATTATCTGTATCTATTTTTATTTTAAAGTTAGCAAAGAAGTTTTTAGCATACTCAGCGGCACGAAACCATGGTTTTGTTTTCCTAAATTGTCCATAGATACTTTCACCCGCCCATAGATACATTCATTCGTTTTCGTATAGCAGTTAGTAACGGAACCTCTAGCATACTCATTAGCGCGGTGTCGTGCATAACTTCCCGTATTATCCGTATTCGTTTTCATTCTAAAGTTGGCAAATAAGCTTTTAGCGTACTCGCTAGCGCGAAGCCATGGCTTTAATTTGTCTTTTCAAGTTGGGCGTAAATGCTTAAATGTGGGGAGCGAGTGGGGAAAGGTCGTCGCTTCTAGTGGATGGAAACGGGCTATCATGAGAGGAAACAAAGGAAAGCTATATAGCAAATGCAGTTATGACATCTTCTAGTTGTCTCGTGTCTGAACAGCTATACATAGAAGTTGCTTATTTTCCTAGTGAAGTTGTTTAATATGTCTGTTAATGTTACTTTGAATATATACATGTGCTTTCATATTGTGTTCGTATTGCATAACAAGTAGTTCAAATTTTGCAATGATACATAATGTTAATTTAAATATTGTTAATTTGAATACTCTAACATTTTGTTTATTAATTTGTAACGGGATGGTCCCTCCCACGCAGCACCAGTTGTACCCCCTTCTTGAGGTGGAGTACGATGATCCACACCGAGCACACTTCTTGACTGACACCGACGCAGAGGTGCCCTTGTCTCCTTTGAGGCCCCGCATGCACACCAGGGCGCACCAGTGGGACGAGCGTTACGCGCCTTACATACGGCGTGCCAGCTTCCTCGAGCTTGTCCGTGTTGTCAACTACGGTCTTCCGCCCCTTGACCCAGCACTACTTACTGCAGTTGTAGACATGTGCGAGTGTCTTCATTGTACGTAAATATTCTTATAACAAATTTGAGGTAACTAATAGTCGTTCTATTCTTATAACAGGTGGAGGCCTGAGACTCACACGTTCCACCTACCTTGCGGCGACATGACCTTGACCATGCAGGACGTGGAGGCTATCTTTGGCCTTTGGTTGCGGGGACTTTCAGTGACAGGTATAGTTGACAACAATCACTGGAGGGAGCTGGTGGCTCAGTTCACTGACTTTCTTCCACCAGATGACAAGGTGAAAGCTCTAGTTTGGTTTTGGTGAATTGATAAAACCCTAAGTGCTAACCTAGTTTATCAAGTGATCATGAGATAGGTAGCACACTCCAAGTGGTGAAGTAAATGAAGATTATAGCATGATGATGATGATGGCATGGTGATGATCAAGTGATTCGACTTGGAAAGAAGAAAGAAAAACAAAAAGCTCAAGGCAAAGGTATATTTTGTAGGAGCTATTTTGTTTTGGTGATCAAGACACTTAGAGAGTGTGATCACATTTAGGTTTGATAGTCGTACTATTAAGAGGGGTGAAACTCATATCGGAATACGGTTATCAAAGTGCCACTAGATGCTCTAACTCATTGCATATGTATTTAGGATCTAGTGGAATGCTAACACCCTTAAAAATGTTTGTGAAAATATGCTAACACATGTGCACAAGGTGATACACTTGGTGGTTGGCACATTTGAGCAAGGGTGAAGAAGATAGAAGTGAAAAGGAGTAAGTGTCGCTGGTTACACGGTGACCGGACGCTGGACTCTAGGGGACCAGCGCGTCCGGTCATGTGTAGCAGTGAAGACGCTCTCTTGGCCATTTGCATTGACATAGCAACCTTGTGAGCCTAGCCAAAGCCCTCCCACTCATCTCCATCATTGATTCATCATCTTTGTGAGATTGGGAGAGAATCCAAGTGTATTGCTTGAGTGTTTGCATCTAGAGGCACTTGGTGTTCGTGTTTCACTGCGGGATTCGCTTGTTACTCTTGGTGGTTGCCGCCACCTAGATGGTTTGGAGCAATGAGGATCGTCGAGTGGAGGGTGGTGATGTCTCTGGCTCCGATCGTGGTGATTGTGATGGGTTCTTGACCTTTCCCCGGTGGAGAGCCAAAAGGTACTCTAGTGGATTGCTCGTGACTTGTGTGATTCTCATCTTGTGTTGGTTGTGCGGCACCCTATTGAGGGTTTGGCGTGTGAAGCCAATTAGCGCATGAACCTCCAAGTGAGTGAATCGCCACAACGAGGACTAGCTTGCCGGCAAGCAAGTGAACCCCGGTAAAAATCATTGTGTTCATCATTGATTCTGAGGTGATTGGTCTTCATTGTTATTCATCCTTGTGATTGATTGGTTCCTTCATCTACATGGCGGTATAACTTTCTTGATCACTCTCTTTACATTACCGCAAGTTAGTTGTCAGGCTCTTTAGTGTAGCTAGTTGTGAGAGCTTGCTTGTTTGGTTGGTGTGGCTCTTTAGTTAGCCTTTGAGAGCACAATAACATTGGGTAGTGTCATAGCTATTGTGTGAATAGATACTATCTAAACTAGAATTGTGGTAGGTGGCTTGCATTTTGAGTAGGCTAGCGCAACTCTTGCTTCGTCTCATAATTGTCTAACCATTTTGTTAAGCGTTGTTGTAGAAATTTTTATTAGGCTATTCACCCCCTCTAGCCATTAGGGCGTTTCAAGTGGTATCGGAGCCGAGGTCACCGTGATTTGAGGCTTAACAACCTTCGGTGTAAAAATAGCTCAAATCAACAACACAAAGAAGCCAACCCAATTTGATGGCTCCAACTATCCCTATTGATAGGCTAAGATGACAACTTATATCAAGTCAATCAACAGGAAGGTTTGGAAGGTGGTAGAGGCAAAGATTGAGATTGAAGATGAAGAGGCTCCCACCACCACCGAAGAAATACTACTCCAAAATAAAGACATTGCTCTTAATGCCATCCATGATATTTTGGATGAGAGAATATTTAAGCAAATCAAGAACATGGAGATAGCTCATGAGGCATGGAAGAAGTTGGAAGAATCATTTGAGGGCACTCAAGCCATGAAGGGTGCAAAGGCATACATTCTCAAAGAGAAATTTGCAAGGTTCAAGATGAAGGAGGATAAGAGTGTGCCGGAGATATTTCATAGGCTTCAAGTGCTTGTCAATGATCTCAAAACACTTGGAGAAGAGGTGAAGGACAAGTACTTCTCCCACAAGTTCTTGAGATGCTTACCTTCAAGATTTGGCACATTGATCACTATTCTAGTAAGGAGTGGTTTGGACACCATGACACCAAACCAAGTGTTGGGAGACAGCATGACTGATGATACATATAGAGATGAAGATGAGAAGGAAGAAAAGAAGGAGAAGAAAGATGAGAAGAAGGATGAGAAGAATAAGAGTGTGGCATTCAAGGCCACATCATCCAAGGGCAAAGCTAAGCAAGAAACATCTAGTGAAGAAGATGATTCATGGGATGATGATGATGATGATGATGAGAAGATGGCTCTCTTTGTCAAGAGATTTGCCAAGTTCATGGTGAAGAAGGGCTACCGTGCTAGAAGAAAGAAGTCTTCATTCAAGAACAAAGAAGAGTCAAGAAGGTGCTTCAAGTGTGGAAGCAAAGATCATCTTGTTGCTCAATATCCATACAATAGCGACAATGATGATGACAAGAAGAAGAACAAGAAGAAAAAGAAAGAGAAGGACAAGATGACCTTTAAGAAGAAGAAGAGTGGTTCTTATGCAGTCACTTGGGATAGTGATGATTTCTCAAGTGATGATGATGACGATAGTGATGATAATAAGACCACCAAGAAAAAGCTTCTTGCAAGCATTGCTATCAATGAGAAGCCTTCTCTCTTCGACTCTTCATCATGCTTCATGGCTAAGGCCACTAAGGTACAAACTTGTGATGATGAAAGTGATGAAGAACATGATGATGATAATGAAAATGAAAATGAAAATGAAAATGATAGTGATAGTGATGATGATGAACCTACTAAGGATAAATTATTTGACATGCTAGAAGATGCTAGAGAACACTTTAACATCAAGAGAAGGGAATGCAAAAGCTTGCGTAAGGAACTAAAAGCCCTTAAGCAAGCCTTTGATGAGCTCAATGCATCTCATGAGAGGCTAGAAGAAGCCAATGAGAAGCTTGGCAAATCTCACAAAAAGCTTGTAAAGGCTCATTCCTCTTTGCTTGATGAGCAAAATAAAAAGAAGCATGTTGAA